AATTCAGGTTCATTGTCTCAAGTCATCTCAAGGTTGATAAAGCGTAATATTTATTTGTAAATTTGGCAACAAAAGATAATTCGCATACGCGTCCATTTGTTAGTTATTACTTAGTGATTAACTTTCGAGCCACGCACGAAACGCCATATTGACCTCTGTAAGTTAAATAGAGCATTAATTGATGCATTTTTTGTATTGTTGAATTGTTTTGTGTTCGTAATGTTCTTTTCGAAGTCAGCCGACATTAGTTTTAGCAAGAAAGCGCAGATCTCCAGAGTGATTAAATAGGACGATTTGCAAAAGTGATTATCTGAGGGTAATTATCCTTTCTTGCGATACGTAAATATGGATTACTGTTGCCTCGCACTTTTGGTTTAAACGTATTTTATCCATCAATGCGACTTGATAACTTGCACCATGACCTTCAGCCGTGCCTTCAGACGTGCTGGATATTCAGATTATCTTCCAACGCAATGTACAGTAGACTTTCTATCGTGGCCTGCATGGTTGAACTATATAAGATTGACCCACGAGGATTTCCGTTTTTCAGTTCAGCTTTCTTGTTACGTCACGTACATCGAGAAACGTAAACTAACCCGTCATTCCCATGACGGATTGGTTGACTGGTTTGATCGCATTTCGATGATTGGTTAATGCCCGTGACGTCACTGAGACCAGTGACGTTACTGGCGAACAACAAACTACATCCGAAAAAATGGGCTTTTGATGGGTCAATCTTATACTAGTTCAACCATATCTGCACGTGGTGGTGGTTCCCCGCTACACCACACATTCCATCTATTGTTCTGCGTTCAGAAAGTTCGTAGATAAAAATGATGACCTGCCATGATATTGTTCCACCTTTCTGCTATTTTGTGACCCCGGTAACTTTATTTTGGTAAACGGTGCTCGAATTCAGCTCGGCCAGAGACCACACTATTCATGATGCCCTAAGACCATCACTCTGCAGTGCTGGTCGGTAATTGGCATTGCTGATCGTCGGATAGCTCCACGCGCTTGCTGCGTTCGGTCCATATATTGAAGGGTTATGGAAACAGACTTCCAAGCCTCTTGTTCTTCCTCCACTGCCTGGTCTTGTTCGTATTCCGCGTGTGAGCCTTGAGCAATTGGTGGCTTATACGTAAATGGTTGCCAAGTCAAATCGGGCCACTATGTTGGCAATAGTATTATTTAATTCTCACTCTGCAATGTATGTCAAGTGATTGTTTACAGAACCAGCATGAAATCGTTCGTATATTCGTGCTATATCAAGAAATAATGAAGGAAAATCTCACATTCGTAAAAAAATAATGCTATATTATTCAAAAATAAGTTCACCAAGTTTAAGTCAGCAAGCTTTCGAAATCATTTTAAATTTTTTTAGCTTATTATCGACCGTTGTGTTGTTGAACATTGTTAGTAGCTCGACCGTGAAGCATTTAATGCTGTTTTAATAATCTCTCTCACAAAGCAGAGCTCCCGTAGGCTTATAATGAAGCTCGTAACGCAGGCAAGCGACGGCCAGGCTTCCCGCCTCATATCAGCGGCCGACACCAGCGCTCGCCCGGCCCTCATTAGCTGGCATGCGCCACGGCTGCGGTAGAGAGGAGGAGGGCATAGTCCTCTACTAAGTTATATGACGAATATTGTGTGATTTAATCGTTTTAAATTATTTCATGTTCAGTAATTTTTGTTTTTTGTTTTTTTTTGTTAATTTTTTTGTTTGCCTAGATGACACTTGCAAATATGATTCAGCAGCTCTTACATAAAGCCAAAAGTCTGTTTTCAATTTTTAAACGATTGCGCAGGTATTAGGTAGCATCAGTAAATAGGGGTTAAATAGTCGTAATCTTTAATTAGGAGTGGCTACAAGTAGCCGCTATGCCGCTGGTATTAAGCAGTCTTCAGTTAGGAGTGAATAAAAATGCTCAATAAAAATCCTGAATAAAAAGCTCAAGCTATTATTATCCTTTGCTTCCAAATATTTTTGCCCTTGAAATTTAGTGAGGGATAGAAGAAAAAGCTTATCAGTTGAAAAATGCTACCACATCCCTAAACACTTCTTAATTTTTTGAAGTTGGAACTTTTTGAACGAACTCGTCTTCAAATTATTTCCGTCTTTATGATTGCTATTTGCGTAGTTTACAATGAAATTAATTCCAAAGCGACTTCATACATGCACCATTTTATCCATTACGACTTTGAACATTTGTTCTTTGAAGTCACTTGAAGCTGAAGCCGCACAGCTTTGACCTCTCAAGCCCAGCGCAGCAATTAAATAACGCAAGGGAGGACATGCGTCGTCCAGTTTCAGTCTCTAATTTAGCCGCGTCTCGTAACCGTCACTGTGATGGTCTTTTCCTTCATTGAGTCCGGAATTTAATGCAAGTAAGAACGACTTCAGTGGCGGCGCAACACAAATAAGAGGATCGACCGAACTGGGGTCTGATGCCGGCCACTACTCGAGTGTCTGACACAGAGAGGCGAATACCTATAAGCTTATGTCATCCTAGTCAATCCCTGAACTGTAAGCAGTATTCCTTTGTAAAAAAAGTAGTAAAAGTAACCATTTATGTGCTGAAGAAACCCTAATAAATGTTATTATGGCTCCATAGTTATGCCAGTGTTTTGTTTGTAGTAATCTATAACTTAATCTTGCTAAATTTTTAATACGCAATGGTTCAGTACCAAATTATACATAATTTATTCAAATTGCTGACCCGACAAACCTGCTAGCGGCGTCGCAACGATGAAAAAATATAGCAATTTATTTTTCCTGCCAAATTATATTGTCTTTCAGCACGTGTTTTTTTTCATTGATAATCGAAAAATATCCTGACAATAATTTCATTCATGTCACCCATTTGACTAATTATATACCTCCGTTATGAAGGTCAGACTTGTTTCCTATATTTAACAATTGGTAAAGTTGCAAATGGTGGTTTGACTTTATCGCATTACCGAACATGCTTTTTTTGAACCTCGTTTAAAAGGGAAGAGGGTCTATAATTAATCATAAAACTCATTGCATGACGATCAGAATTTCCGCAGCACAAATGCTGAACCGTTGGTTTGCACTACTGAAAGATCTTTGGTAAAGCAGAATTATCATCAGATGAAATTTAAATGTTGCGTTTAGATGTTTCGCTTGGTCTGCTAACGACGCAATTATGACACTCAGTTATGACGCTCAATTATGACCCGCAAATATATAAGAAACATAATTGAATGATGTGTCATACCGCTGTATACCAAATTAATTAAATTTAATTTTAAAATATTATCATAATAGATTCAGTTAATTTACGTGAATATATTATTTCCAGATTAAAAAGTGGAGTTATACACTATCTAAAAAATTACTAAGACACAACAAAATCATAAGCCTTATTCACAAACGGGTGTTGAATCGTATAAACAAATGAGAAATTGCAGAATAATTAGTTAGCAGAATGATTTAACAAATGATTCTCTCGACCGAATTGCTTAAAATGAGCGATTACATTAAGATTTTTTTAGAGATTAAAAGATTCATAGATTTAACTCTGCAATTACCATAGAACGCTGGTCAAAATAATGTTTTCATTAGCCTCACGAGGGTGGCCGCTTCTCTCTCATAATCATTTTAATTATCACTTCATTATGGTCCCTGGCTCAGAAAAGCTAATTCCTTCTCTAACGAGTCTGAAATAATGGCTAATCGGAGCAGGATTTAAAAGGCTTGGTTAATGTCTGTTAATTTGAGGTGATTCCTGTTCTAACACCACAAAACAAAGCGACAATAGTTTTCGGGTTAGTATTAACGAAATTTAACAGATGCACAAAGTGAAAACTTTTATAATTTCATATTTATCTTCATTAAGGTTTAATAAGTGTATACCCATATATTCAGTAACTGAAGTTATACATATCTATGCTTTTTTAAACTAAAGCATTTAAAGAAGTTTCCAAAATTTACTGTTATGTTACTTTTATTTTTTTATATTGTTATTGAATCAAAATTTGATTTTGTCTCATGCGAATGGATTGTGCGATTGAGAAAAGAGAAGGCTGCTAGAAAATAAATTTGAATAAGCTTTCAGTTCCATATCACGTATCGATCAAGCAGTGGCGAAGGATGTTGTTTGTTGTGTACTTCTGAGAAAAATTTTCAAAGAAGATTTATCATCAACACACGTGTCTCATAATACTGGGAATAGCCTTCAGCTTTGTGAACGAAATATCAATCCCCCAGTTTTTCTTCAACTGAAATCAATTCTGTTTGAAGAAACAATATTACGACGTAGGAAAGTAAGTAGGTAGCAAGAATAGGATTTCCGTAACATTGACTAGAACATTGTAAATCATATTATGCGAAGTAGGCGAATTTTCACAAAGAATTTCGTATTTGAAAACGAGTGAGTTTTAAGCAATTTTTTGAAAATTCTTCGCAAAACACGAGCAAGAGGAATTACGTAGTCGGCGTTGCCTGGAGAATTCAATAAACAAATTGTGTTTTCCTGGGATCGCTTTGCTCGGGGTTACAGATTCTTATTAAAAAGCAAAAAACAAAGTCGAATACAGCATTTATTTGCTACCGTCTCGAATCGGGATGCCCTCGTGACACGATGTGTTGTTTCAATACCCATGATCTTAGAACTTGAATGATGAGGTTTTTGGAAATTTTTCTGTCGGATTGAATCAAATAATTTTAATTTGCTGCATTTAGTGTTATTTAACAATTTATTTATTTTATATTTTTCCAGTGGATGTGGTTTTGAGCATCAGCAGGCGCTAGCAGCAGCCTCCTGCAGGCGTTGGAGGTGCCACAATACGCCTAAAAACTCTAACTCTTTTGTTGATGTCAGCAGGCGCTAGCGGCAGCCTGCTGCAGGCGTTGGAGGTGCCACAATACGCCTAAAAACTCTAACTCTCTTGTTGATGTCAGCAGGCGCTAGCGGCAGCCTGCTGCAGGCGTTGGAGGTGCCACAATACGCCTAAAAACTCTAACTCTTTTGTTGATGTCAGCAGGCGCTAGCGGCAGCCTCCTGCAGGCGTTGGAGGTGCCACAATACGCCTTCGTGTCGGGCACCGCGACGCTGCGCTGCGTCTACGACATGAGTGACACCAAACTTTACTCCCTCAAATGGTATCACAACAACACGGAGTTCTACAGATACGTGCCAACAGAGAGGAATGGGCCCGTCAACATTGGCCCCACGGACATCTTCCTCCTGCATGTGAGTGGCAACAAGTTTTGTGTTCTTAGAAGTTTCACAGGAATGGCTCCGTGAAGAAATAGTACAAGAGTACCACATGTTTCGACTTATTTTCCATCATGATATATGACTAATTATTGTCTAGAAGAAATTTTATCTTTGTCACTCCCGTCTCGACAACCAAACGAACATAAATACCGAGACCAAATTAATTGTGTTTTATCGTAATTAAAAGTACGCGTGGTGACGTCGTGTTGACTTACTCCAGGAAGTGTCCCGCGACGCCCGCCACGTGACGCTATCCTTGGGACGCCTGACGTCGGCAGCGACAGGGACGTACAAGTGCGAGGTGCTGGCCGAGCATCCCTCCTTCAGGACCAAGTCTGCCCAGGCCTTCATGACGGTGCTCAGTGAGTGCATTGCTTCCCCGCAATAATATTCCTATCATGGTAAAATAGTGAGTGAAAATTTTCTAAAATGGTCATCGTCTTTCATCGAGTAGAATGGCTTGTAGAGAGCAGAACATGAGGATTTCTGCACCCATCATTGATGTGCAAAGTAATGTGATCCTATTCCCCAGAATTAGTATCGACAACTGCACGAATACAATAACGAAGAACCAATTAGATAAGGAAATAAAGATGTAAATGTGGATACCTTGGCCTTCATGCGAGGAGAGAGGATTACCTTGGGTTGCGTAATACCTAGTTCTATAGGTAATACCTAGAACAAGGTATTCTAGGTAACTTTTTATCACTTCTTCCTTATGGATTTACTGCTTTTGTTTGTTGCATAGAAGAATACTGTAGCACCACTGCTGAACATTTATTCTGCAGCTACTTTTTCTGGACAAGAGATGTTATGGAGGCCCCGGATATTATTGTTGATGATATTCTTTATGAGTGGTGCTCGCAGAGGAGAAAAATAGCTGTGTTTTTTTCAGGGTATTTTTTAGGATGCAGGAATGGTGCATTGTTCCTCGATGTGTTGGAAACTTGTGTTTTTATATTATTTTTTAAACCCTAATTTTTTCAAAACTTTACAAGGTGCCAACATGTTGTCACTTCGAGATCATAGCTTGGATGCTAAAAAGCTGCACTAAAAATAATCATAATAATAATTTTTTTAAACTTTCGGGTAATGATCGAGAGTTTAAAGTCAATTTACATTTGAGTTCGTCATTTATTATAGAGGGCTCTTGATTATCGGAAAAAAATTCTCCGTAAGTCGGGCTTCATCTCATTTTGTTTTTATTCAGACGCTGTCATATCATGAGATGAATTAGCATCTTCTTAAACCAGCCAATAGCCTTTCTTAAGAAATAAGCCTATAGAGACCACCATTCATAAACTGACGCATAGCTTCTGAACTGAAAGACACCGCTCCAAAACGTGGTCTGGATCCTTGATACTAAATAAAAAATCCGATGGTGGGTACCTTATAAGTAAATTTAAGCTTTTTTAATTTTAAAATTATTTCATTTTCATCATTGCCTAAACTCGCAAAATGTTTGAGTTCTATTTGTTGTCTACACATATGTGTTACTGTTATTTTTACCGAAAATTACATAACAATGAAGTGAATTTCAAGTAGATAAAATTTGATGAATCTTAAAACTAGTATTGCTTATGGATAATAATAGTTTACGATGCACGAGGGTATAAACACGGGCCATTCTAAGCAGCTTGTTTCAGGATATTAGGAAGGAGTCCCTGTCCCATATTTTTCAACTCAGTTCCGGTGTTTTGATGTTGCCAGTAACGAAAAACATGAATCTTAGCTCAGGAAAAATCTTATCTGAAACATGCCGTGGGCAGACTCCTGTGACGCCTACTTAACGTTGATTTAATAGTTCCTTAATGCCGTTTCGTCTGAAATCGAATGGTGTCATAATTAAGACAAATAATGATAACTAAAATTTTAAAACTACCCCATTCGCAGATAAAAGTCTCCAGCAGTTCCATTCTAACTCAAGATCAACTGCACTAATCCTGAACTCTCAAAAAGCACTCGCGCTGGCGAGACGATGATGAAGTGAGGCCCGTAAATGGCCAGTATATAGCAGACAGGGCTTACATCGTGCCAGAGAATGCTTCGTTAAGAGGCCCGCAGTGGGGAACTTTAATTTTTCACGCAAGATCCCAAGTCTGACACGACGGACGCGGGGTGCAGCTTGGTTCCTAGGCTGAGTGAGTCTGGAAGGTAGACGTAAAATCGGGAAGTTGGCTTCTTGAAGATTAGGCAGTAATAGGAAGGTTATCTTCTACATGCAATTACACGGTTGAAAGTTAAAGTCCCTCCACATTTGGTTGAATATCCCATTAAATTTGTAATGTATCTCGTTCGCTTTTAACATAATGTTTGGTCACTCAGCAATAGTTCATGCAGCCCACAAAATGCTTCAAATTAAATCCCGTTTAACTTATTTAAAAAATGTTCAATTATCTTAAGTGAATTACCGACCTAAAAATTTCGAGCCGATTAATTGAGACAGAAAGGAAATTACTAGTTCGAATTATAGTTTTGTGGTAATGTAAAATATTAGTCTGAAACGGCGTCGTCATTCGAACAAAACTCAATTTAATAATGTACACGAATATTCATTAGTATTGCGCCTTGTAAATACATATTGTTAATTTATACTGCACTAATAAACGCGTTGTCTCAAAATTTTAACCCCCTACACAGCTGACCTTGGCATGACCAATAGTCGACATTTCTCTCTGGCTCAGCCACCTCAAGTCGTAACCGATCTCTACATAACTGTTAGCTTAATGTTAAACTCATCACACGTTTAGATGATAATGAGAACAAAAAAATTGATTTCAAGATTTCGAGGCTGACTCATATTAATGGCTCTCACAGCAGACATTGTAACGCCGTCGATGCAGTTTTAGGTCATGTTGAAGCGGACGCCTGGAGGAGCCTGGTCACGATACAGCATTGCCAAAGAAAATTACGCCACATATTAATTAAATCTAACTTCAAAGGAATAGGACTTTCTGTTGCCCACATTTCAGAGCGGCCG